GGACAGCCTATAAATGACAAGGGAAAAATAGAAGTCTTCAAAGCCCAGGCTCAGAAAGGGAACACAAGCTAGTCAGCCACCATCACCAGTTGTAGAATTTGATGAAAGACATAATTAGTATGAATTACACTGTGCTAAATGTGGTATATTTGAAATGAACAAATCATTGATTTTGCAGAATTTGATCATATGTTCTCCAGCATCATTTCTATCACCAAGGCCATATTTTCCAACTACTGATCCTTCCTCTTTGCTGCCAACTTTTGCATTCCAATCACTAGTAATGATCAATATATCTTGATTGCATGTTGATCAATTTCAGATTGAAGAAGTTGGTAAAATTCTTCTGTTTCATCCTCACTGACTCTAGTGGTTGTTGCATAAATTTGAAAAATAGTGGTATTAACTGGGCTTCCCTGTAGGTGCATGGATATTATCCTATCACAGATAGCCTTGTACTTCATGACTGATCTGGATATACATATGGACCTCACCAGATGGAATACACAGAAATCAAATTGACTACATCTGTGGAAAGAGATGATGGAAAAGCTCCATATCGTCAGTCAAAACAAGGTTAGGGGCAGACTGTGGAACAGACCATCAATTACTCATATGCAAATTCAAATTTAAGCTGAAGAAAATGAAAACAAGTCCATAAGAGCCAAAATATGACTTTGAATATATCCCACATGAATTTAGAGATCATCTGAAGAATATATTTGATATATTAAACACTAAAGACAGAACACCAGAAGAGTTGTGGGATGACATCAAGAATATCATACATGGGAAAAGCAAAAAGTCATTAAGAAAACAAGAATGAAGGAGAAGGTCAAAATGTACGTCAGAAGAGACGCTAAAACTTGCTCTCCAGTGTAGAGTTGCTAAAAGCAAATGGAAGAAATGTGGAGGTCCAAGAGCTGAACAAAAAAATTCAAAAATCAGCTTGAGAAGATAAAGCCAAATATTAACAACAAAATGTACAAAGATATGGAATCAAAAACCAAAAAGGAAGAACACACTTAGCATTTCTCAAGCTGGGGGAACCGAAGACTTTCGTTGTTGAAAGATTCTCTGGGCAAATTATTGAATGATGCAGAAAGCATCAAGAGAAGATGGAAGGAATACACAGAGTCACTATGCCAAAAGGAAATGGTTCATGTTCAACCATTTCAAGAAGTAGCATATGATCCAGAACCAATGATACTGAAGGAGGAAGTCCAAGGTGCATTGAAGGAATTGGCAAAGAACATGGCACCAGGAATTGATGGAATAAAAAGTGAAATATTTCAAGTAAGTGAGGCAGCACAGGAGGCACTCACTCATCTCTGCCAAGAAATTTGGAAGACAACTATCTGGCTGACTGATTGGAAGAGATCCATATTTGTGCCCATTTCAAAGACAGGTGCCCCAACAGAATGCAGAAATCATCGGACAATCTCTTTGATATCCCATGCAAGTAAAGTTTTACTGAAGGTAATATAGAAATGGCTGCAAGCATACATTGACAGAGAACTTCCAGAGGTTCAAGCCGGATTCAGAAGAGGCCGTGGAACAAGAGCTATCGTTGCTGATGTCTGATGGATCTTGGCTGAAAGCAGAGAATATCAGAAAGATGCTTACCTGTGCTTTATCAACTATGCAATGGCTTTCGGTTGTGTGGATCATGACAAGCTATGGACAACATTGCCAAGTGTGAGTATTCCGGAACACTTAACTGTGCTCATGAGGAATCTGTACCTGAAGCAAGAGATAGTTGTTCGAACAGAACATGAATACACTGAATGGTTTAAAATTAAGAAAGGTGTCTGACAAGTTTGTATTCTTTCACCATAGTTATTCAAACTGTATGCAGAGCAAATAATCCAAGAAGCTGGGTTATATGAAGAAAACTGTGGCATCAGGATTGGAGGAAGATTCATTAACAAGCTGCGATATGCAGATGATACATCCTTGCTTGCTGAAAGTGAAGAGGATTTAAAACATTTACTGATGAAGATCAAAGAGCACAGCCTTCAGTATGGATTACATCTCAATGTAAAGGGAAAAAAATCCTCACCACTGAACCAATAAACAATATTCTTATAAACAGAGAAAAGATTGAAGTTGCCAAGGACTTCATTCTTCTTGGATCAACTATCAACACTCATGGAAGCAGCAGTCAAGAAATCAAATGACATATTGCATTAGGCAAATCTGCTGCACAAGACCTTTTTAAGGTGTTGAAGAGCAAAGATGTCAGCTTGAGGACTAAGGGCGCCTGACCCAAGCCATGGTATTTTCAATAACCTTATATGCATGCAAATGCTGGACAGTGAATAAGGAAGACTGTAGAAGAATTGATGCTTTTGAGTTATGGTGTTGGAGGGGAATATTGAAAGTGCCATGGACTGCCAAAGAACCAATAGATCCGTTTTGGAAGAAGTGCAGCCAGAGTGCTCCTTTGGAGGCCAAGATTGCCAAACTTAATCTCTCATACTATGGACATATTGTCAGGAGGGACCAGTCACTGGAGAAGGATATCATGTTTGGTAAGGTGTAGTGTCAGAGAAAAAGTGGAAGACCCCCAATGAAATGGATTAGCCAAGTGGCAGCATTGATAGACTCAAGTGTGGCAACAGTAGTGAGGTTGGCCCAGGATCGGGCAGTGTTTCATTCTGCTATGCATAAGGTTGTTATGGGTTGGTACTGACTCGATGGCACCTAACAACAACAACAAATGTGGTGTGGTGCTGTGGGCTAATGCTTCAGACTGCAAAGTCATTTGAACTGCAAGGTTGGTGGTTCAAGCTCATCAGCTGCTCCTTGGAAACCCTATACAGGGTCGCTATGGGTCAGAATCGACTCAATGGCACTTAACAACAACAACAACAAAGGAACCCTGGAGTCCTGATGTGGTGCTGTGAGTTAATGCGCTAGACTGCAAAGTTGGTTTGAACCACAAGATCAGTGGTTCAAGCTTACCAGCCACTCTTTGGAAACCCTATACATGGTCGCTATGGGTCGGAACCGACTCAATGGCACTTAACAACAACAAAGGAACCCTGGTGGTGCAGTGGTTAAGTGTTGGGATGCCAACTGATATGTCAGCGGTTCGAACCCACCAGCTACTCTTAGAGAAAGATTTGGCCATCAATTTCTATAAAAATTACAGCCTTGGAAACCCTACGGGCATTTCTAGTTTGTCCTATAGGGTCAGAATAACTTAGTGGTAATGGTTTTTTTTGTTTGTTTGTTTATTGGAGCTGGGCTAGAGAATACCAGAGCCAGGAGAAGCAGTGGGGGCTTCTGGATGCTGATCGCAGTTCTTGCTGAACCCAAGAAGCTCCTGCCTAGGGCAGACTGCCCCCTCCCGTCCCCACCATTACCACCAAAGCCAAAAGAGGGACAGAGCATGTGGGGCTCTGGATTCCTTCTGAGCCTGCTACAAAGGCTCACATCTTTAGAGTGCATTGTGTAAAATAAACACGAACTATGGAAACTGGTAAATATTTTGCCCTTTCCAAGTTACCACAATAGATTTATACTCTGGTTTATTTCCCTGAAGAAAGGTTTTCTAGGCTTTACTTCTCAGTTAAAAGAAGCAAGTTAATTTAAATGGAAATGCTCTTTAAATTACAGTTTTAATCTTTCACTGCTGTGAAAAGAAAAAGCTGAAAATGCAGGTGGCTGGATACAAATTTTTTTTCATCCATTTAAATGATGTCGTCTGAAATAGTAAAACTGGATGGGGTCTTTCCAAAGTGTATGATTGAGTACTTTTATATTGTTTGCTTCAATATATATATCTATTAATGTTACTGCTTTCATGTCAAAAACATTGGACTATTTGGAATCACTTATTTAATTCTTCCTACAACTCGAATGTATATTCCAGTATGTTGGCCTCTAGGTATAAGGGGCAGTGAAAAGGAGAAACTGGGTCAGTGATGAGGAAGTAGGGAGACACTAAAATAAACTTCATAAGCATCCTGCTTTCAGATCCTAAAGACATCTGACACCTGCGGAGCCAGAAACACAGCAAACTTGATCTGACTTCTCATCACAGGATGCCAAAGGAAAGCGGCCATTTGCTCTAAGATAAGCACTTGACTGTAAGGTTTCAACTTGGAAGTCCTATGCAGGGTCCCTATGAGTCAGAACTGACTGACAGCACTTAACAACAACAACTGAAAGCACCTTACCATTACCAGCAAAACCAGCCTTCATTTACCACGATGGAGTCCCTGGGTAGTACAGTCAAAGCTTGACTGTTAACCAAAAGGCTGGTGATTTGAGTCTCAGAAGAAAGGCCTGATGATCTGCTTCTGAAAAATCAGACACTGAAAATTCTATGTAACACAGTTCTACTCTGACTTCCATAGGGATGTCATGAGTTGGGATCAATCAATGGCAAACGCCTGGAGTTGGGATCAAATAAGTGACGACTGGTAAGCACAATGTAAGGTACATAAGATATCTTAGAAAAAGTAGACATTGCCACAAAATCTTTTCCCATCCTTTTCTAGGTTCTTTGGAGTCCTGGTTTGGTGCTTCAGGATAATGCACTGCACCACAAGATTAGTTTGAACCACAAAGTCAGCAGCTCAAACCCACCAATCACTCCTTGGAAATCTGATACAGGGTAGCTATTAGTCAGAACGGACTTCATGGCACTTAATAACAATGACAACATAGCATTCTACTTACATGAATATAGTAATTTAAAATAGTAGCAATAATAATGTAGTAACAACACTTGGGTATTTGATCACACAGCTAACGCATGAGAGATCCAAAACTTGAACCCAGATTCATCTGACTTTAAAATCACTATGCAATACTGTTGTCCCACCCACCTCCCCACTCCTCCCCACTACCCCCAGAGACCATGATCCTCTAAAGAGCTGACCCCTGCTGCCAAGGCTGAAGGAGCCAATCACTGGTGAGTGAACACTTCACCCCAGTGACCCTAAGGAAAGCAGCCCTAGGGAAAGGTGAGAGACCAGGGATCCTACCTGGTGCTGGACTCCGTCCTCACTGACACACTGGGTGCAGGCCTCCTTGGGGACACAGTTGCCTTCCAGCAGGACTTGGTGTGGGGGGCAGAAGCAGCCTTCTAAGGGATGGTCCTCACAGGAGCTGGTATTGCCCTCACAGTGCTGGGGGCAGCCATGTTCACAGTGCTTGTAGATAAAGGTGGATGGACAAGACATGGCTGCAAACAGAGAAGGAGGCCATTGCAATGCTACACACCAGCCAGAGGAGAACAGAGGCACAGCTCATGGGATAGTCGATAACTAAACAAACTTACTGGGACAGAAACACTAATTTCTGTTCTTCTATCTGCCATAGAAATGAAACTTTTAACTGGACACCTGACCACTCAGAATAAGACTACATTTCCCAACCTCACTTGCAGTTAAGTGTGGCTGTGTAACTAAGTTCTGACCAATGAAGTGCAAGTGAAAGTGCTTCAGGGAATCTTTTCTTTAAAGACTGTTATTAGTGCCCTTTGCCTCTCTTCTCTCCTCCTCCCAACCTGGTGCTTTGAGCATAGATGTGGTAGCTAGAATTCTATCTTAAACCATGAGGGAGATGCCTACCTAGTAAGGGCACAGCAAAAGCTGGCATCCAGTTGAAAAGTCAGAAAAGACTGGAGCCACCTCCCTCTGATATGCTACTTGCTGCCAAATCTAACCTTAACTGACTGTATGAACCCACATGGTCTTAGGAAGTGTTGTGATTGTTTCTTTTGAATAAAAATATTCTTTCCCCCTTTTTATTCCTCTTTTGAAAAAGAAGATTTTTCAATCTTTTAAAAAATTAAATAAAGAATCTACAGTTATGAATAGAACTATGAGGAGCAGTTACAAAGTGATTAGCTTCTTCTGCTCTGTCTCTACTCAACCCTTCCTCACATTCTCACCTAGACAGGTAGTGAAAAAGGTTTTAAGGATTTGGAAGAACAAGTGTTTCCCTCTATATGCACAATGAACAGCCTGGAATTACACAAAGAACTTAGTAAACAGAGACAGTACTATACTGCAGAGGCAGTATCATCTCCATGGATGATGAATTGGAGCTGGAAGGAACCTGGAAGGTCATCTAGCCTAACTCTCATTCTAAGAAGCAGAAACAGGTCCACAAAGGCTTGGTGAACAGCTAATCACCAGCTGAGCTGGACCTAGGACATCCAATTCCTTAGGTGAGAGCTATGACAGTTCTATGATAATAAATCTAAGAACACCAAGATTCTTGTATCTATTGATTTCTTGCCAAAGAGAATGGGATTTTATTTGGTAACTGAGGATGTCAAACTTTAGTGGTCTTTCCACTCCAGCACCCTTTGAGGGAAAGATCCATATGTGATTCATTTGGTATGCTCTACAGATTAAATGGAGTCCTGGTGTGACATTGTGGGTTAATGCATCAGATTGCAAAGTTATTTGAACTGCAAGGTCAGTGGTTCAAGCTCACCAGCTGCTCCTCCGAAACCCTACAGGGTCGCTATGGGTTGGAACCGACTCGATGGCACTTAACAACAACATAAATTTGGTATGGTGTTGTAGGATAAGCACTGGACTGCTAACCACAAGGTTGGCAGTTCAAACCCATCAGATGCTTCTTGTAAACCCTATGAGTTGGAACCTATAGGTCACTATGAGTTGGAACCAACTCAACAGCATTTAGTAACAACACATGTTTCTAGGACTCTTGGTGTAGATAAACACTAACTACTAACTACAAAATCTGTGTTTCAAACCCACCAGTCACTCCTCAGAAATCCTATACAAGGTCACTATGGGTCAAAACCCACTCTGCAGCACTTAACACCAACATATGTTTCTAGTTAAAAATCACATTTTCTCAACTATGGAAATACATATTTAAAGAACTATGCTTTGACTTATGAAGAAATTTTGTGTTTGAATTATTTACCACATCTATAAGGAGCTCTGGTAGCATAGTGGTTACGAATCAGGCTGCGAACCTTAAGGTCAGCAGTTCAAAACTACCAGCTGCTCCGCAGGACAAAGATGAGGCTTTCTGCTCCCATAAAGATTTACAACCTTGGAAACACTGTATAGGGTCGCTATGGGTCAGAACCAACTTGACGGCACTTAACAACAACAACAACACAACAACCATCCGTAGTGGTTACGGATCGGGCTGCTAACCTCACGGTTAGCAGTTCGAAACTACCAGATGTTCCCCAGGAGAAAGATGAGGCTTTCTGCTCCCGTAAAGATTTGCAGCCTCAGAAACCCTGTGCAGGGTCACTGTAAGTCAGAACCGACTCCATGGTACTTAATAACAACAACAACCATCTTATTTGATCCTAACTGGAATCCTAGGTAATACAGGGGTTTTGATTTTCATAACTCAAATAAAGAATCTGAGATCAGAGTTACACAAGCTCACAGCTGATTGGTCTTAAGGATTCTGAAGGGTATACATATGGATACTTACCACAGAAATCAGTTGTCCTCCAGTCAACACAGATCCCATTAGTCCGACAGAGGTGGGCGTAAGAAGCAATCACCTCACACGCTTGCTCCCGGTGGCAACTCTCCTGCTGGCAAACATCATAAAATGTGGCTGGAGCAAGGACCTTGTGGCACTCCGCAAACACTGTTGAGAGGAGGATCTGGCAATGAGTATCACTGGAGACAGGACACTTCTCCTCGGGAACGGACTGGCATGTTTGCCCTGGCTGTTGAATGGTCCATTCCTGGATGAGGATCCTCTGGTCTGTGGTAACTGTGCCATCCCTCAGCATGAAGTCATTGGCCCCGTTCTCATCACAGACTCCTGAAGAAATAAAGAAAGGTAAGGTTGGAAGCCTTGGGTGCCAACACATTGATGTAAGAGACCTGGTCACTCTCCATCCCTATCAGGGTCTGAACCATAGCTCTTGTTACAGGACCCAGAAATGTAAGCATCCAAGAGTCCTAAGAGTACAGTACATAAGGGAAGAGTGAAGAAAGTGCTCTTACCACAGAGACCATACATCTTCGAATCAAAGGTCTTGGGACTAAGCTGTAACTGGAACTCATTGTTTTGTGGAGTGAATGTGAAGATGTGGCCAAGATGGTTGAATCTGATCTCATGCATGATGGCACCATAAATATTGACTTCCATGTTCCCACCTATGTAAGGGGCAGATACTAGTCTCCCATTAACAGTCACCTGCCCAAAGAAGAAAATAAGCTCATGAGTAGTCAGAACAAAAAAGAATCCTTTAACTCCAATATGTTTCTTACTGATGTTATTGACAATTCCTGCATGTTCTTCACACTCAACTCCAGTGTTAGCCACAAACCCAGTTATTTTTCAACAACTCTTGTATTAAAAATGGACTCTATCAATACAGCTTGACAGACACTACTATAATACTGTAGAGAGAGAGTCATGCATGGTAAAGTGAACCTTGAGCCTGTATGCTATCAAGGGGAAGAACAAGCCCTTCAGGACAGCCTGGGAAAGTTGCCATGGTGCAGAGTCATCAGAGAATTATCTCTAAGAGTGTTTCACAGGATTAGCTTAAGGCGTTCTCATTTAGTCACTATAAGTTCAAGCATATTAAAGTATAAGCACATCCCATAATAAATGTGATTTTTGCTGTAAATGTATTTGGATGATTCTTATCATTTAGATTTTATATTTTTTGGCTACTCATGTAATAGCTATGATTTTTTTCAGCAGTTGTACATATTCTGGAAGGTTTGCAAAGTGAAAAAAAATCTAACCTACAAACTGTTTTCAAGTGTAATGAAATAGTTACAACTTCTAAAGTAAACAAGTAATAAAGTTGGCATAATGTTACCTTTTGCAGACATTTAATTAACCATTTATTTCTATCACTTTTGCAGGTTTCTTTTCAACTTTTGGAGCCATAAATTTGTTCAAGCCCTAAATAATTTCAAAGATCATTGGAAAGGTCACAGGACCTTAGCATTGGGCTTATAAAGTCTAGTAAATACACAGTGCTGATGTTCAACCCAATTCTCTTCCAGCACCAGAACCTGGCACTAAATTCGCAATTTAATGCTGCTTAAAAGTAATCCCCTTCCAAATCTGGGCTCAGCACACATGAAATCACACTAAGACAAGGGAGACAGCTATTAGCCCCTTTTAAGAACCTGGTGCTCTGTCAACTAACAGAAACACCAGCTAAAACTAACAACCACCAGGTCCATGTGGCTGCCCAGCCATGGGACCCACAGACAATGCCCCTCACCTCCATGTCGCTGTGGAGCTCAATTGAGAGGCCATCGTGCTTCACCTCAATGGATTTCATGCATGTCTGCCGTGCCCCAGGGGTGCAGGCACCATTATGAAGAATCACTTCCAGGTCATGCTCCTTGTTTTGAAATAGGACATAGGAACAGCTGCCAGTCAGCTTGAAATTTTGTCCATCAAAGGTCACAATGTGCCGGGTCGAGCTTCCCATGCACACACCTAGACAGGGTATAGCAAAGGTTGGATGTGATATTATCTAAATTTCCATTCCTGTTATATGCAAAGGGGAAGGTGATGCCAACTTGCACACAGATAGAGTTGAGATCCAAAGAGGGCCTCTGAGGTCATAAGAGTCCAGTTTCCTTATTTTACAATTGAGGAAACCAAGACCTTGAGACCTAGAATGGATTAGGTATGTCACACTTGGCCATTAAAGATTTTCCTGGACAAGGTTTAGAAGGATAAATATCACATGAAAGCATGGCAAATTACAGACCGGTACTTCCAAAAACTTTAAATGTACTGAGAGAATGGTCTGTTCTATCAAGATGCTTGGCCCAGGAAACAAAGTTAAGTTCCAAGGGTGTTATGATTCGCTGAAATCACAAGGAGCTAAGCAAGCCATAAGCTCATGATCTCACTGTAAAGAGAGTTCACCTAAAGACACATGTGTCCTTTCATCTGCCAATGACTAATGGTAAAAGTGGCCATGTTGACTTACTCCCTTAAGAGATCACACAGAGAAACATTTCCAGAGCCAAAACAAATCACTGGTCTCAGCACTCCCTCATATGCTACTAATTCTTTCACATAATCAGCAAATTCTCAAGGTTTCTATTGAAACATGATTTGCAAATAACTAGTCATCTTGCCTCTACCTATTGATGCTTCAGTAAAAATCCCCACATGGAAGGCACCACCAGGTCCATGGATCAACTGAAAGTAAATTTGGACCTAAATGAAGTTGGAGATGAGCTTTCAGGACAAACCATAACCACCTTGACAGTGATGAGTGAATAAAAGCCTAAGAACTGAGAGTCAGACTCAGTGGAACAGTGAGGCTGTGCCAAATGTCTCACTCACAGGTGGGCCTGGGCAACCTCTACCTACATGGCAGTGCATTCAATAACAAATAATGGTTCTGGATACACCATCTGTCAGAGCTGAACAGCCACCCTAGGAGCCCATAAACTCAAAATGCCTCAAGTCCTTGTGAATTCAGTAATTTTCAAGTGACAGTACTGACTTCTCCTGAACTATTGGCTTCCATGCTGCAAGTGACCCCAAATACGCCAGCTGTGAACACTGTCAAGATGTAAGGAGTCTACACCCAGCTTCTGTTATCATTAGGTGCCACTGATAAGAACGTGATAAATCGTGAAGCAAAGAAAAAGTTTTAACTCATACTTGGCAAGTTAATGAAAATGGATCTGGTTCAAACTCACCAGCCACTCCTTAGAAACCCTATTCAGGGTCACTATGAGTCAGAACCAACTCAACGGCACTTAACAACAACAACAAATCATAAGATAAGCCAATATAAAGGAATGAACATTTTAAAGGCAGAGAAACCTAGGATTACATTCTGTTCCACTACTTGTTTGCACTGTGAACTTGAACAAATTATTTAACTTTTGTGATCTTTTCCTTTCTCCATGGCACAATGGGATACTATGCTGTTGTTTTTGTTGCTAGGTGCCGTCAAGTGGGTACCAACTCATAGTGACCCTATGCACGATAGAATGAAACACTGCCTGGTCCTGTGCCAACGTCACAACCATTGCCACCCTTGAACCCAATGCTGCTGCCACTGTGCCAATCCATCTCATTGGAGGTCTTTCTCTTTTTTGCTAACCTTCCACTTTACCAAGTATGATGTTCTTCTCCAGGGACTGGTCCCTCCTGATACTATGTCCAAAGAGATGAAGTCTGGTCATCCTGACTTTTAAGGAACATTCTGGCTGCATTTCTTCCAACATAGATTTGTTTGTTCTTTTGGCAGTCCATGGTACTTTTAATATGGGGTGTTATAACATCTGCCTTTTAAGATCACTGTGAGAATTAGTTACAAGCCAATGAAACAAAGAAAATCTAGAAATTTACAGTAACGGAGATTTCTGGGTTGTAGCTGTATTAGGACTTGAGATTGCTTCATTTCTGTAATACTAAACCAAATTGCATCCCAAAAAACCATCACATAATACTTTAGTTTACTGATTAGTTTATATCAACCAGATTGATGAACAAATTTCAATGTTCAGGACACAGAAAAAGTTAGGTAGACCCAACTAAAAAATAATATCAGACCAAAATAGGAGTTCATTAGAGAGCAAAGTATAACTGGCATAAATACCCCTGAAATTAATTTGTCTAGATCTGTCCTTTTATTTAACATTTTCATAGTCATTCTTTCTGAATAACAACACAAATATCTGTTATAGAATATGTGGCAAAACATTTTACTGAAGTGTCAAAATATGATGTATACGAGATAGAGAAATGCATTGTTAGAGCAAAATGCAAATTTTCAAAAAGACATCCAGGTAACCAAAACAATGCAACTGCCTATGTCCAAAAAGAAACGAATAAATAAAACTACACAAAAGCTGCTCCTCAAACATAACCAGAATATAAGAGAACACCCAAACTTTGAAATAACTTTAAGAAAAATATGAAACCTAACACTAAACTCTAGCAAACAATCTTTTGTGCTCACACCACTAACCTTTTCATGAGCAAGAACAATCTGAGAAAACTGTTAAAAAGACAGAAGGGAGCTAGCAGAAAAGTATAAAATGTTTCTAAAACCACTACTAGAAAGGCAACTCCATGCTAATTGTAAAAAGATTAAAAACCTGTCCTGCTAGATCAGAGCAGGGGAGTAAGGTGGACTTAAAACACATAAAATGTGAGGTGACAATCCCTGAAAGACATAGCTTCAGGGGGAGAAAACAGCAGGATTGAGTGGTAAGGTATATTTGGCAATTGGATGGTGATGGGGAAAAAGCAAAAGGAGAAATGTAATGTTCTTGAGGACAGAAAAATAAACAAAAACTCAGGGTATTTAACTCCTCCGCACACCAAAAACAAACAGCACAAAAGTCACTACAGTGACAGAAGAGAGTATCATTGAACTAGAAATCTGTAAAATCTCAAATCCACAAATTGAATAGAAGTGACTAAGTAAACATACAAAGTTACTTCAAAAATTTCACAAAATGGCAATCAACACTCTTCAGCTAAAAAATATTCCACTCCCAATCAACCATGATGCAGAAGAAAACCAAGCCAGCACTCCAAATGAAATTAAATATACTCAAATAAACATTTATGAAACTGAAATCACCTCGAATCAGAATTTCAAAAACTAATAAAATAGACATAAAAGAATACATACAAATAGAATTGGTTGAACTGAAAAACAAATTCATCTCAGAAATGAATAAATAAGGCCATATGGAGAATAGACTAAAATAAAAATTGAATAAGCATTGATAATGAAGATGAGTTGTTGATGAAAAGATGTAAGAAACAGAAAGTGATGAAAATAAAGACAAGAAGCAAAAAAACACTAAAAAAGAGGCTATTCCCTGAAGGAAAACAAATAAAATAATGAGATAAAACTAATATTTAAATCTGTAATCCACGAAAACTTTCTGGGAAGCAAAAAACACCTGACTCTACGTATTGAAAGTGCCTGCCAGATCTTGAAAAAATTAATCCAGAACAATCAACTCCGAGACATATTTCAGTGAAACTATTAGACTTCAAAGATACAGAAAAAAATCCTTCAGGTCTCCAAGCAAAAAGCACATCATGTACAAAGGCAAAAGAATTAGACTGGAATCAGAATTCTTAAAACATACAAAGTCACTTAATGCACGATAAAAAGGTTTTGTTTTTTTTAAATGAACTACAAAGCAAGGGGAAAATGGATCTGCATTTTCCAGAAACTCAATGAGAGAAAGTATGAATTAAGAATTTTATAGCCAGACAAGCTGTTCTTCCAGCATCAAGGTTATAGAAAGAAGTATTGAGTATACAAGACTTTAGGGAATCCTGTAAGGTTGCTATGAGTCGGTACCAACTGGATGACACCTAACAACAACAACATACCCATGAGGCCTTCTTGAGGAATCTATTAGATGAAAATATTCCTTCAACTAAGAAAAGACTGATAAATAACAAAAAACTGAAGGTAAGCATTTTTATATATTTAATACTGGTGTGGTACTGTAGGATAAGGAACTCTGGTAGCGTAGTGGTTACAAATCGGGCTGCAAACCTCAAGGTCAGCAGTTTGAAACTACCAGCTATTCTGTGGGAGAAAGATGAGACTTTCTGCTCCTGTAAAGATTTACAGCCTTGGAAACCCTGTACAGGGTTGCTACGAGTCAGAACCAACTCCATGGCACATAACAACAACTACTAGGCTATAAGGGCGGCAGTTCAAACCCACCAGCTACTTCTTGGAAACCCTATACAGAGTCACT